CTTCTAACACAACACTCCACGGGTCCTAACATCACCCTCTAACACAACACTCCACGGGGCCTAACATCACCCTCTAACACAACACTCCACGGGTCCTAACATCACCCTCTAACACAACACTCCACGGGTCCTAACATCACCCTCTAACACAACACTCCACGGGTCCTAACATCACCTTCTAACACAACACTCCACGGGGCCTAACATCAACCTCTAACACAGCACTCCACGGGTCCTAACATCACCCTCTAACACAACACTCCACGGGTCCTAACATCACCTTCTAACACAACACTCCACGGGGCCTAACATCAACCTCTAACACAGCACTCCACGGGTCCTAACAGCACCCTCTAACACAGCACTCCACGGGTCCTAACATCACCCTCTAACACAACACTCCACGGGGCCTAACATCACCCTCTAACACAACACTCCACGGGGCCTAACATCACCCTCTAACACAACACTCCACGGGTCCTAACATCACCCCCTAACACAACACTCCACGGGTCCTAACATCACCTTCTAACACAACACTCCACGGGGCCTAACATCACCTTCTAACACAACACTCCACGGGGCCTAACATCACCTTCTAACACAACACTCCACGGGTCCTAACATCACCTTCTAACACAACACTCCACGGGTCCTAACATCACCCTCTAACACAACACTCCACGGGTCCTAACATCACCTTCTAACACAACACTCCACGGGGCCTAACATCACCCTCTAACACAACACTCCACGGGTCCTAACATCACCCCCTAACACAACACTCCACGGGTCCTAACATCACCTTCTAACACAACACTCCACGGGGCCTAACATCACCTTCTAACACAACACTCCACGGGGCCTAACATCACCTTCTAACACAACACTCCACGGGGCCTAACATCACCTTCTAACACAACACTCCACGGGGCCTAACATCAACCTCTAACACAACACTCCACGGGGCCTAACATCAACCTCTAACACAACACTCCACGGGGCCTAACATCACCTTCTAACACAACACTCCACGGGTCCTAACATCAACCTCTAACACAACACTCCACGGGTCCTAACATCACCTTCTAACACAACACTCCACGGGGCCTAACATCACCTTCTAACACAACACTCCACGGGGCCTAACATCAACCTCTAACACAACACTCCACGGGGCCTAACATCAACCTCTAACACAACACTCCACGGGGCCTAACATCACCTTCTAACACAACACTCCACGGGTCCTAACATCAACCTCTAACACAACACTCCACGGGTCCTAACATCACCTTCTAACACAACACTCCACGGGTCCTAACATCACCCTCTAACACAACACTCCACGGGTCCTAACATCACCCTCTAACACAACACTCCACGGGTCCTAACATCACCCTCTAACACAACACTCCACGGGTCCTAACATCACCCTCTAACACAACACTCCACGGGTCCTAACATCAACCTCTAACACAACACTCCACGGGTCCTAACATCACCCTCTAACACAACACTCCACGGGTCCTAACATCAACCTCTAACACAACACTCCACGGGTCCTAACATCACCCTCTAACACAACACTCCACGGGTCCTAACATCACCCTCTAACACAACACTCCACGGGTCCTAACATCACCCTCTAACACAACACTCCACGGGTCCTAACATCAACCTCTAACACAACACTCCACGGGTCCTAACATCACCCTCTAACACAACACTCCACGGGTCCTAACATCACCCTCTAACACAACACTCCACGGGTCCTAACATCACCCTCTAACACAACACTCAACTGTTAAACCTTCACAACTTCCCCAAGAGACGAGAACCTGGAATCCTCGTGAACTGTGATACAAGTCCAGGAGTGAGAACTGAACTTCATGGTGCTTAAAAAATAGAACCAGTGGAGACATAGTCACAACATACCAGATACTGTGAGAAGACCACAGTGGACAAGGACAGACTAGCTTATCACAGGTGGGAAGAGAACAAGAGGAATGATGACCATTTAGAAAAGAGAAGAGCTAGAGAGATAAGGGAGTAGTGTGTGAGTACACTGTAGTGTGGAGCAGGAGGTATGTGGAGACAGTTACTGGAGGACATACTGCCCTCCACACCTGAACATACTCACATGTTAGACCAGGTTCCCTAGTGTAGGGCTGGAGGCCGCTCCCAACTATAGCCACTCACTCACTCATCACATACACTTTATCTTAGCTAAATGTATATCAAAATGTTCAATAAAACTTCGCCACTCTACTAGAAATGATGTTGGGAAGTATACAGAGGGAAAGGTACATATGTTAAGTTACCGGGGATGAATTTACCGTCTTAGCTCTAGCTCCGGTTCTATCAGTGAGTGTACACTATTGACCTCTTCCGTCCTGTCTTATGCGTCGTGTTCTGCCTCTTACAGGTGACTGATCATGTCTTCTCAATATTTCGTAATTAATCTGTGTGGAAATGCCCAGTCTTTGAGTGGATAATATATTTATTATGGACTAAAAGTAGAGTTTAGAATTAAATTTGGTATCAGCAGTTGGTGGGCAGAAAGTTATTAATATTTGATTTGATATTAATTATGTTTCATGTTATCTTTGAGGATTGTGTGAGGTCAGTCTTCCAATATTAACCTCAGGTTCTTTTTTGTATACAAGTGATATAATATATATATATATATATATATATATATATATATATATATATATATATATATATATATATATATATATATATATATATATCTCAGCTGGTGTTGCTGCAGTGGACTTGGTCATTGTGAAAAATATAATGAAATACAATGAATACAGATCAAACAAAGAAAATATTATAGCCATGAGTGGGTGTTGCCACACTGAGGTGTGAACACAGCCCGGGGGGGTCCCAGTAGGCCCGGGGGGGTCCCAGTAGGCCCGGGGGGTCCCAGTAGGCCCGGGGGGGTCCCAGCAGGCCCGAGGGGTCCCAGTAGGCCCGAGGGGTCCCAGTAGGCCCGGGGGGGGGGGTCCCAGCAGGCCCGGGGGGGTCCCAGCAGGCCCGGGGGGGGGTCCCAGCAGGCCCGGGGGGGGAGTCCCAGCAGGCCCGGGGAGGGGTCCCAGCAGGCCGGGGGGGGGGGGGGGTCCCAGCAGGCCCGGGGGGGGGGGTCCCAGCAGGCCCGGGGGGGGTCCCAGCAGGCCCGGGGGGGTCCCAGCAGGCCCGGTGGGTCCCAGCAGGCCCGGGGGTCCCAGCAGGCCCGGGGGGTCCCAGCAGGCCCGGGGGGGTCCCAGCAGGCCCGGTGGGTCCCAGCAGGCCCGGGGGTCCCAGCAGGCCCGGGGGGGTCCCAGCAGGCCCGGTGGGTCCCAGCAGGCCCGGGGGTCCCAGCAGGCCCGGGGGGGTCCCAGCAGGCCCGGGGGGGTCCCAGCAGGCCCGGTGGGTCCCAGCAGGCCCGGGGGTCCCAGCAGGCCCGGGGGGGTCCCAGCAGGCCCGGTGAGTCCCAGCAGGCCCGGGGGGTCCCAGCAGGCCCGGGGGGTCCCAGCAGGCCAAGATGGGGTCCTGGGGAGCCTGATGGGTATCATTAACAAGTAATATCACCACGAAAGCTGGCTGCTCCGGTAAGGTTAATAAATATGATACTAATATTGTATATTCATAATATATTAAGATGGTTGGTGAGTAGTGGTTATTGAGGGGGAGAGTGGCATCACCGGAGCCCGGTACCATTGTCCTGGTTCTGGCACACCTCTCCTGTTGCTCCTGTTGCATCACTGCACGCTGCAGTCGTGTGTGTGGAGGTGGAAGGCCTCTAGCCTGTGTCTCCATGGCTACGCCTTCTACCGGCAGTGTGTAGCATGTTCTCCCTATCACGCTACCGTTGCCTGCAGATATAACTACCAGAATTCACTCCATTTGTCTCTACTGTATATCAGTTCCCATATATCAGGTCATCCTCCTGTTGTGGTAGTACTTATAGTACCGATGAGGACCATAGTATATATTCCCACCTACAATGAAATTAGCACGTAGAAATCTGAACTATTGAGTTGGACAAACCGGAAAACTAGTTTTTACTTGTGTTGCTTTGACAAACTGAACTTACCTAACCTAACCTAACCTCCCTTCACGTTTCGTATTGTTTTCATCTTGTAGAGGGCAGTACCCGAACCTCTGTTAGCCTAGAATATTTCCTATACTAAATCAGGCCTAAGATTGCGTATGTTAGGCCTAGGATTGCTTATTCTGTCCTAGGTGAGGCTGGGGTTAGGTTTATGATCGGTTTTCACTGTTATGCCTTTTGTCTGTACATTGTGTACAGTGTGCACAGTCCATTCACAGTAGGGACAGGTTGTCATACTTGCAGGCTGGGTTGGGAGTACTTGGTTACATGGTGCAAACTTTAGGTGTAGACTACGCACACTACTAAACTTGTTGCTTTTAAACACCAATTATAGGTCTATTATACACCTTTGTGTTTCACGTTTGGTGTTGTAGATCAGTCGAGGACTTTCACTGTGGCGGACAGTGTCTGGGAGCCCCGCACCTCACTTGTCTTCTTCCTAATTGTTGTTTTCTTGTACTTATATTTTGTTAAACGTGTAGATGTTACCAGATATCCGGTTATATTACCTGAATTATGGAGAAAGAAAGTCACACTAACGAGACTGAAAAGTACAACCCGACTCATACATGTGAAAATCAAGGAATACTTTAATACTTGAGCTTATTCCCATACTTCTACCATATCCTATAATTCTTACCTTACTCCTATTCTTCAACTTATTGACCTATCCTCTCATCTCTCACCTTATATATTGACTTTCCCGTCCACTCTATTTCACATTACATGACCTGATGATAATCTACGGAGTAAAACGCTGCGAATTCCTTTATTTTCAGTTATCTGGGATGATTGTCTAAGTAACTGAGGGCCACCATTCTCTTTCTAGTACAGTACAAATAATAGTGTGTGAAGTTTGTTGACAGTTATGAAGTTATGTTATAAAGTGGTAGAGTACTGTGTAAGAGTACTAATGACTTGTGTGTTTATGCAGGATCACATCCAGGAGGTGCTGATGAAGTGGGAGCAGATAGATGACGAGATCTGGTCTAAAGTCATCGTCTTGGAGAGGAACCGACGTGTCGCTAAAGCCTACGCCAGGGCCCCTGTCTTGACCGTCAACGGCTCCGACGATGGCTTCGACGGCTACAGGTCAGTACAGGTCTACAGGTCATACAGGTCTACAAGTCATACAGGTCTACAGGTCATACAGGTCAGTACAGGTCATACGCTGGAGCCTGGTAGAGACCATTGATGGAGTAAGTGAGCAAGTAACTAAGGTGAGTGGAGAAGAGTGAGAGGCATGACACGGTGCCAGTAAGCCGGATGTGTGGTGTACTGGTTACGGAATCTGGAGTACACGTGCAGCGGCCGGTACAGCCCGGCGGTTACAGCCGTGTGCGTAATCCCTCAACCCGTTCTCGCAAATTTAATAAGTCAATATTGACTTATTTAATAAGTGCATAGGTGACATACTTAACATAATAGTTTCCCTTGAAAAGCTTCATAGAAAACACCGACCTTACCTAACCTACTTAGTATGTTAAGATAAGCATCTTATTGCTTCGTAATTACAATTATTACCTAACCTATAATAGGTATAGGTTAAGTAATAATTGTAATTACGAAGCAATAAGATGCTTATCTTAAGATACTAACAAGGTTAGGTAAGGTCGGTGTTTTCTATGAATCTTTTTAAGGGTATCTATTATGTTTAGTATATCACCTATGCACGTAGTTAATAAGTCAATATTGACTTAACGATTTTGCGAGAACGGGTTGCATCCCTCCACCAACTGACAGCCCAAGTTTATTTACTGCACTAACTGTACAGGTGGACTAGTTAGTGCGAGGTCACTCATCTCCCACTTACACCAACCCAACTGTGCACCCTGGCCCACCACTTGCGGCACTTTGTAATTGTGGATTAAATATTTGGACATTCTTTGTCCAAATATTTTTGGACATGACACCTAATGTTGACACCTTTGACATTAGCTGAGATCTTCGTCAGCAGCTGGTTCAAACCACCTGAGATATTTAGAACAAAGAACTTTCGCAACACAAACATCGTAATCTCGATCTATTTTGGGTGAAGTTGTATAGCAGTAAAGGATATTATACTGGAGTGAGAGGTGAAGCAAGTGAGCCTGATTGTGAAAGGTTCAGTACTCATGCTGGATGAATATTGTTACTCGTCTACCACCATTGGGAAAGACTCTTGAGACTACAAATATTGCACGTAAGCCACCTAGATAAAGCAGTAATGACCATGGCCAGGTGAGGGACCTTGCTGACTGCTCACTTGATGGCCACGTGAGAGATACAAACAGGATCACAGTGGTCGAGAACAATGATCTAATCAGCAATAAGTGTAAAGAAACAATAAGAAAGACAGAGAGATGGGAGATTACGATAACTAGGGAATCCAAGTCACATTCTAAAAAGATTGGTTCTGTTTCATCAAACCAAATTTCGAGGGGAAAAACGGAAAATTAAAATAAATTCAAGTTTGATAACAAAGAACTCAGCAATATTGTGACTTCTTCATATAAGTCTACACCTGAGAAGACTCTACAACCGCACAGTTTACGTCGAGTATACCTCATTTGTAATACAGATGTAGAAAATATATTGTGCAAGTTCAAAAACCTAAGATTAGCAAACAAATACAAAATTAAACGCAAATAATTTGTGCCATTATCAGATATTTGCTGAGATCTTAAAGGAATGTGAGGAAGAGCTGTGCAGTTTGTAAATCTCCATGATATATCTATTGTTCAGCTGTGAGGGCAGCATCACTGAGGGTTGCTAATGTAGTGACAATTCTTGTGAGACACATCTCTGCACTCTAACTATCGTCAAATTAGTCTATTATCACTTAATGAGAAGTCACTTAATATATTTAGGAAATTAAATTCATATTCATCTTGAATGAATAACATGTAGTGACTCATAGCCCCTGGCCTACTTGGAGGCATTTATATTTAATATATTTACTTTCATTCTCATCATATTGGAGAATTTTGGAAGCTGTGGGTGTTAGTAAGAATAGTGATATTCTATCTTGTTCTTAGTGTGTCTCAAGAACATAGCATCTGAGGCCAAATGCCAAAATGGTTAAGAGCACGGACAACACTAGAGAGACCATAGTAGGTACAAATGGTCGGCAGCCAGAAAGTGGAACAGTAACCCATCCTCTTTAAATGATAATACTTACAGTAACTATTGGATCCAAAGTATCAATAAGTAGTCTTGGACCACCAAAAACTTCATATTTTGTATTAATGAATAAGCCCAAATGGTATTCTCGTAAAAACGAAATGAAATGAAAGAACCTAATCTAACATGTCCCAGGAATCCTAGGCTTATTTATTACATGCTATCTTAGGCCTAATATAGCACATATATGTGCTATAGGAATCTTAAAGTTTGGTTTCAACTTGTTCTTAGACCCTATAACATTACAAGTACGAAACATTAACGTTTTGGTAGTCCAACCCTACATAATGGTACTTTTGTCCAAATACTTACCAATAGCTTACAGTTTCTATTGAAAATGAGTTTACAATTTGTTGCTGAAGACGACCACTCCCAGTCAGTTTGATAAGATTTACTGACAATTTAAAAAAAATACATTTCAACTTAATTGCTTATATTCACGGTATTGGAAAAATTTGTTGATGATAAAAAATATATGAAACTGGATTGAAATTGCAATGCCTTAAAATATTCTTAGGCTCGTCGTTAGAGCAGGCAAAGCGAATCTTTTACAATCACATTCCTAAGGCCATCCTTGCCTTAAAGAACTCACTTGTGTCACTTTATTCTGATGGGCTAAACTCTTCAGAGTTTTTAAGATCTATAATATCAATTTAATTTTCAAAAACAATAATACAATGAAATCCACTTTAACAAAGAACTCGCCTAATGGTTCAACAAGATGTATGTATTCGATCCCTTGTAAAGATTGTAATTTTAATACATTGGACAGACTGGCACACACCTCAACACCCGTATCACTCAGCATCATTATTCGATAAGAACTTTGCAACAATCGAGTGCAATATTCTTTCTTTTGGCCTCGCCAATAATAACATTGATTGGAATGCCTCAAACGACATAGTCCATTGCAGTAGCTTTGTCAATGGTCTTTACTTCACCTTCATTCAAGCACTATAACATTGTAGTAAGTTTCTCCATTGTATGAATGTTCAAGTTTGCATAACCTTCCCTGTGGCTTGTACACTGTGGCATAACCTTCCCTGTGGCCTGTACACTGTGGCATAACCTTCCCTGTGGCCTGTACACTGTGGCATAACCTTCCCTGTGGCCTGTACACTGTGGCATAACCTTCCCTGTGGCCTGTACACTGTGGCATAACCTTCCCTGTGGCCTGTACACTGTGGCATAACCTTCCCTATGGCCTGTACACTGTGGCATAACCTTCCCTATGGCCTGTACACTGTGGCATAACCTTCCCTATGGCCTGTACACTGTGGTATAACCTTCCCTATGGCCTGTACACTGTGGCATAACCTTTCCTGTGGCCTGTACACTGTGGCATAACCTTCCCTATGGCCTGTACACTGTGGCATAACCTTCCCTATGGCCTGTACACTGTGGCATAACCTTTCCTGTGGCCTGTACACTGTGGCATAACCTTCCCTGTGGCCTGTACACTGTGGCATAACCTTCCCTATGGCCTGTACACTGTGGCATAACCTTCCCTATGGCCTGTACACTGTGGCACAACCTTCCCTATGGCCTGTACACTGTGGCACAACCTTCCCTGTGGCCTGTACACTGTGGCATAACCTTCCCTATGGCCTGTACACTGTGGCATAACCTTCCCTGTGGCCTGTACACTGTGGCATAACCTTCCCTATGGCCTGTACACTGTGGCATAACCTTCCCTATGGCCTGTACACTGTGGCATAACCTTCCCTGTGGCCTGTACACTGTGGCATAACCTTCCCTATGGCCTGTACACTGTGGCATAACCTTTCCTGTGGCCTGTACACTGTGGCATAACCTTCCCTGTGGCCTGTACACTGTGGCATAACCTTCCCTGTGGCCTGTACACTGTGGCATAACCTTCCCTGTGGCCTGTACACTGTGGCACAACCTTCCCTGTGGCCTGTACACTGTGGCATAACCTTCCCTGTGGCCTGTACACTGTGGCACAACCTTCCCTATGGCCTGTACACTGTGGCATAACCTTCCCTGTGGCCTGTACACTGTGGCATAACCTTCCCTGTGGCCTGTACACTGTGGCACAACCTTCCCTGTGGCCTGTACACTGTGGCATAACCTTCCCTGTGGCCTGTACACTGTGGCACAACCTTCCCTATGGCCTGTACACTGTGGCATAACCTTCCCTGTGGCCTGTACACTGTGGCATAACCTTTCCTGTGGCCTGTACACTGTGGCATAACCTTCTCTATGGCCTGTACACTGTGGCATAACCTTCCCTGTGGCCTGTACACTGTGGCATAACCTTCCCTGTGGCCTGTACACTGTGGCATAACCTTCCCTATGGCCTGTACACTGTGGCATAACCTTCCCTGTGGCCTGTACACTGTGGCATAACCTTCCCTATGGCCTGTACACTGTGGCATAACCTTCCCTATGGCCTGTACACTGTGGCATAACCTTCCCTGTGGCCTGTACACTGTGGCATAACCTTCCCTATGGCCTGTACACTGTGGCATAACCTTCCCTATGGCCTGTACACTGTGGCATCAACCTGTCCTCTTAAAAAGAACGTCGCTTTTGGCCGTTTGCCCGTATGGCCGAATTTGGACGTAATTGGAAAATGAAAAAAAAATTAAAATAAATTTGGGATTTCTTTTTTCAACAACAGTAAGTTAAGGGTCCTCTGATAGGTTAGGTGGGCAGGAAATTCTCATAAAGTTTCAAAACGTTATGAAAAACGTTAATTTAAAGTGTCCTCTTATAACCTCTGCGCCTAAGCCGGCCGACTCAAATAGAAAACGGAACAGAACGTCACTTTTGTGAGTCGATTTCATTTCAAATTACGTCCAAATTTAGCCATATCGCGCATACTAGCCAAAAGTGACGTTCTTTTTAAGAGGACGGGTTGGTGGCATAACCTTCCCTGTGGCCTGTACACTGTGGCATAGCGTTTA